CCCCCCCAACCATATACATTTCCCTACCCACCAACCAAAGCCCTCTAGGACCCACTGACCACTATCTATACCATCTATGGGTACCTATAGGTAGTCCATCTTCCTCCTAACCTTCTCAACCCTTTCAACCATCTTTAACCACGAGCACGGCCGAGGGCGTTTATTGCGCAAAGCAAATCTTCGAAGCTGAGAAACCGAGGGCTAGGAGCACCAGCCGCGCAAGAGGCGTTATTACAAGATACAAATGCTTTATTTTATTGTTGCCGGCCAGTTGGCTCGGAATGCCTCGGCTAACCCATTCTCCTTGGGAATATTGCGTGAAGCACTTTGCTACAAGCTAAAGGTACTAAGCCACGGCCGTAGTAGCCTTATTCATACAGCAACGAGGACTATATACCAGACCCTCCTGCCGTACGAAAACATTTTGCTTCAGTTCATCCCCTGTGCGGTATCGCCTTTGTTACTCTCAAATGTCAATGGCCGATAGACCCTCTTGGCCTCTTACCATATAAAAAAAAGGGATACAAGGGCCCGCAGACACGTAGACGTCTTAATTCAAGTGACCTCGAACCACGATGAATTATATCAGTAATATAGCTATAGGCAGACCCGTCAATAGCGTCAGGTCCAACAACCGTATTTAACCGGGGGGAAAAAAATTCCCTAGGGCACTAGTCTAGGGAATATCAATGCATATCCAAATCAATGCCCATAAATTCATATCTCCGCATGCTTATGTATAGGACGTCCTGGAAAGGGGTTGTTTCAGAATTATAACGGGTGTCGTCATTCGGAGTGGTAGAAGCAAATGCGCATCGGTACATCAGAATACACTCAGAGCCATAATACGTATTTAATTAAGTGCAGCGAGCTGCGCACCCAGTGCCCGAGGAGGAGGAAAGTGCAACGAGTGCGCACGAGGTGCGAGGGAGGGCGGTCAGGGGGAGGCGAAGGGGGGAGTTTATAGTAGATATCAGTATGGGCCTCCATAACTCTTGCGCTTCCTCGGGCGGGCACAAGCCCCCTGGCTCTTATATACCACGATGGAATTTCATCCTCGCTATACGACATAAATCTCCGGCGCATTAATGCCATTACGTTCTCTCAGGGTGGTAGTGGTGCGGAGGAATTGCAGAAAGAGAAGGGAGACTCGGGGAAGGTCTGTGCGTACAGAGTGAGACAGAGATGAAGATTGTGGACTAATTTATAGTGTGTAGAAACGAATATTTTTTTTGTTTTAATAAAAATACCCTATACGGCTGGATTAGACGAATTTGCGAAAATTTCAGTATTCTGGAGTGAGGGACGAGGCTGATGCTTTGGGTTTTATTTTTAGTGGATTTCTTGGTTACGGGTCGTTGGTTTTACCTAGGAGACCATAAATCTCAATTTTGGGACCAACGGTATTTTACTGCACGGATTGGGGATAACCAGGGATGTTTCCTGAAGAAATTTTTGAAAATTAATACCCAATCTTTACTTCCGAACGCGGTTCCTCCGTGAAAGTCAATATAGGAACTGAGTTTAAGGTGGTCGGTTTGTATTTAAAAAAAAAAAAAAAAAAAACACCTGAATCCTCACGGAGAAACTTCATAAAAAATCGTAATCGCGAAAATAGCGTGTTCAATTATCAAGCGGGTAATGAAATTCCGATTTGAATTTTCAATCTGACAATATAATTAACGTCGAGA